CCTGTGCTATTGTGGTGAGCAGAAAAGCATCTCAGAATGAACAACATGTCGAACCTTTAGGTGGATGGGCTACAACAACAGAAGACCATGTCGGGTTCCACTTCTGTCAGCCAAGAACAGAAAGCTGAGGCCACAGTGGGCACAGGCTCACCAAAACTGAACAGCTGAAGACTGGAAACGTAGTCTGGTCTGATGAATCTCGATTTCTGCTGAGGCTCACAGATGGTAGGGTCAGAATTTAGTGCCAACAGCATGAATCCATGGACTCAACCTGACTTGTCTTAACAGTCCAGACTGGTGGAGGTGGTGTAGTGCTATTGGGAATGTTTTCTTGGCACACTTTAGGTCTGTTAATACCAATCAAACATTGCTTGAATGCCACAGCCTATTTGAGTATTGTTGCTGACCATGTGCATCCATTCATGGCCACAATTTACCCATCTTCTCATGACTACTTCCAGCATGATAATGCACCATGTCACAAAACAAAAGTTGTCTCAGACTGGTGAAATGTGACAACATGAACATGACAATGAGTTCAGTGTTGTTCAGTGGCCTTCCCAGTCACCAGATCTGAATCCAATAGAACACTTTGGGATGTGGTACAAAGGGGGATTCACAGCATGAAAGTGCACCTGAAAAATCTGCAGGTATTGTGTGACGCAATCAGGTGAACATGGACCAGAATCTCAAAGAAATGTTTCCAACATCTTGTGGAATCCATGCCACGAAGAATTGAGGCTGTTTTGAGAGCAAAGGCCCTACCCAGTATTAGTATATAGTGTATAGTATATATATTTGTATATAATGTTCCTAATAAAGTGTAACTTTTGGCCATATAGTGTAGATTTCTATGTATATATTAGAAGAGAGAGGAAAGAGTGGTGTATTTAGTATCCCAATTTAGATTCATCACTTTTGCAAGAATTTATAGATTAGTGAATCACTAAAGTGTTATAAAGTAGTGTAACAGTGTACAGACAGCGTTATGGTGCACTTGGTGCTCGTTCATTTGCATACAGTTGATAATTGAATTGGAAATATATAACAGTATGAAATTAATTCCATGTAAACCCCAGCTGAATGCTTTCGTTAGACTGATAAATGTACAGTAATTTGCTGCCGTACATTGGGACGTTATTGTACACTTGTTTCTCAAGTATAATCAGTGATTATATATGCAAACTAACTATGTAAATTTTCCAATTTTCAAATGCACAAAAGATCACTACATCATACTTAATGTGTATCTAAATGTGTATCTGTTACATACAGCGCTCTGTCCACTTTAGCCACACTAGGACTCTACTCACTGCACTGTGCTTTACTGTGCCTATTGTCCTGTTTTTAGGAAATTTGTACTTGTCTTGTTCTGTTTGCACATTTGCACATTTGCACATGTGCACTTTATGTAGTCCTGTGTAGTCTTTAGTTAGTTCTGTGTACTTTCAGGTAGTTTTGGGTTGGTTTATGTAGCACTATGGTCCTGGAGGAACGTTGTTTCATTTCACTATGTACTGTACAGCTGTGACAATAAAAGCCACTTGACTTGATGTGTATTAACATATTAATCACGATCAACATGTGAATAATGAATGCAATTTATGAAGCCTAGCTACTTTAAAGTGTCTTTAATTGTTGTTGTGCTTTTTCCTTAAAGTCACACCAGTTCTACCTTATGAAGGCTAGCTACCTTAAAGTTCACACTAAGCAGTGGATTAGTAACTGTCAAGCAGGAGAGCGTCGGTTTGCTCTCCGGTCCACAAGGTGGCAGCATTCCTTATAAAGAACAGAGACGAGTACGTAGAAGAAGACGTAATTCTCCATTTGAGCTTCTTATTGGTTAATTATGAGTCACGTGATGGTGGCAAACCCTTCCGCTCGTATCGAAGTGAGCATTTCTCAGCCCAACGTGTGTAAACAAACACGGACATCAGCTAATGTAGAAAGGAGAGCTGTGTTCAGTTTTCGGCGTTAACATGGTGAAGTGTGTGGTGCGGGGATGCCAGAACCAAAGCGACCTGAAACCGGGGGAAATGCGCAACAGGCCCCGGAAGCGCTTCTTCAGCTTCCCCGCGGATCAGGGCCGCGTTAGAGTGTGGCTGGCTGCGCTGCGGGAGTCGGTGCGCTTCTCCACCGAGCACAAGATCTGCGAGGATCACTTTCTGCCCGAGCACATCACCCCGAGCGGCATCAGTCCGGACGCCATCCCCATCATGCCCCCTCTGGAGGGAGCGATCCTGGGCTCGGGCGGCTGGACCTCACCGGTGGAGCTCAGTGAAGAGCCGTCAGACCCGACTGAAGTGGTGGTTAGGACTTTTTGCTTTGATTTCTTACATCAGGGTAAATCAGGATCAATCAGGGAGTCTCAAACCCTCTCTAGTGTAAGAAAAAAGATCAGTGGACCGTCTTTAAGGGCAGGTGGGACAGAGCCACCATATATACAGTGTATCAGCGTTCAGCCAATGTTAATCTTTATACAGTCCTCATTCACGACTTCACATTTTATTTAATTCCGTTGAAATAATAATAGCCTCTTTTGAGTCACCAACTATTTAAAGATTTCACAGATATGAGCAGATGCTGCATTGATTTGCTCATGTTACTAGATGTTGCACAGTCTCAGGGCAGCCTGCTCACTGAGAGCACAGACTCCCAGCCCTGCTCCTCTAGCACCCACTGTCCTGCACATGAGCAGGCATGACGGCCCTGCTCCTCTAGCACCCACTGTCCTGCACATGAGCAGGCATGACGGCCCTGCTCCTCTAGCACCCACTGTCCTGCACATGAGCAGGCATGACGGCCCTGCTCCTCTAGCACCCACTGTCCTGCACATGAGCAGGCATGACTGCCCTGCTCCTCTAGCACCCACTGTCCTGCACATGAGCAGGCATGATGGCCCTGCTCCTCTAGCACCCACTGTCCTGCACATGAGCAGGCATGACGGCCCTGCTCCTCTAGCACCCACTGTCCTGCACATGAGCAGGCATGACGGCCCTGCTCCTCTAGCACCCACTGTCCTGCACATGAGCAGGCATGACGGCCCTGCTCCTCTAGCACCCACTGTCCTGCACATGAACAGGCATGAACG